AAAGGTGTTCCATCAGCGGAAGCATCTCAGCTCACTCCTTCCCTCGACAGCTAGTCTCATTCCGACATAATCCGAAAGATTTACACTCTGCAAAAAACACAAAAACTTACAAAGTGTTATTGGTTTAGTTTCTAGTTCAAATGCTTTAGTACATTTGAATTCAGTAACATATAGGAGCTTGTTTTAAGTCAATAATTCCTTGATACTGATGGAAAAAATACTAGTTCCAATAGCAGATTATTTCATGTATAACATGGGAAAAATGTCTTATTACAAGTGAAATATCTGCCAGTGGAGCTCGTATTTCTTAATATTAAGGAGTTGTTGACTGAAATCAAGTTCCTGAGTTGCTAACTTGTAAGTTAGTTTTGTTTTATTTCAAGAATACTAAGATATTTATATTATAAACCAGACCAAAAACACAAATTGTACATTTTTTTGCTGTCTATTTCATGGTTAGTATTGAATAACAGATACAGTTTCCTCAGTGTTCGGCCCATGAGCTGATGCGTATTCTCTGCTGCCATGCAGGTGATTTTCCTCACCACTCTGTTCTACCTGCTGAGCTCCAGCGGTGAATACTACAAACCCGTCAAATGGGTCATCAACCTGACGCCGCTCTCGCAGCCCGGACCCTCCTCCAACATCATCGGCCAGTCTGTGGAGGAGGCCATCAGGTTTGCATCGCGGCTGTGAAATAAAAACAAACAAAAAAAAAAAACGCGAAAGATCTTCCCTCACGTAGGTGACGGTCGATGCTTGCGTTACAGAGGGGTGTTTGATGCCTCCTTCAAAATGGCGAGCTTCTACGGCCTCTACACCTGGCTCACTCACACCATCTTTGGCATCAACATCGTCTTCATTCCTTCCGGTGAGTCCGTGTGTTTGCAGCAGATTGCGGTGTTGTTTTTGCTAAATGCTCAGTGCTGAGCGGCTCTTTTGTTGCTGGCCCGCAGCTCTGGCTGCCATCTTGGGCGCCGTGCCTTTCCTGGGGACATACTGGGCGGCGGTGCCGGCTATGTGCGACCTGTGGCTGGCTCAGGGCGAAAGCATCAAGGCCGCGCTGCTGCTCATCTGCCATCTGCTCCCGACGTATTTTGTGGACACGGCCATCTATTCGGATATATCGGGGTATGTTTGCAAAAGAAAAATGTGGTAAACGTATCCAGATCTGGAACTTTATGGCTTTAAAAGCAAATGTTGCAGCAGGTGTTTAACAAAGCTTTTTAGTTTGAATGAGTTTGGGAATAACTTTGATTATCAAGTTCAGAGAAAAACAAACAGATGAATAAATTACGACCTGCTTTAGTGTTCATTTCCATAACACAGTTTTATAAAGTGTTGGTTTCTTTTCTCAGGGGCGGCCATCCGTACCTCACAGGCCTGGCGGTGGCAGGTGGAGCGTACTATCTTGGCCTGGAGGGGGCGATAATCGGTCCCATTCTCCTCTGCATCCTGGTGGTGGCAGCAAACATCTACAGCGCCATGCTGATGAGTCCCAGCTCTGCACTCCCCACACCAGTCCAGGCAAACTGGCCCACACACCCCATGAGGTACACACACACACACACACCCCCACACACACGCACACGCACACACACACACACACACACACCTATGGCTGAGTAAACCATCCCTATTTAACCGGTTCTTTGTCCTCTCGTCTCGAAGGAACTTTGCAGAGTCCACTCCCTCTGTGCTAAAGACGACCTCTGACCCAAAGTGAGGGTGTGTGTCCCTGCAGAATGTCTTGCGGGTCAGGGACCCGCTCCCCATCCGGCAGGCTCCAGAAGCTCGACCCGGACCAAGAAGAGGAGGAGACGCTGCGATCGCCGGCGCTGTCCGCGTCCCAGAGCCAGCAGACATCCTGATCCCAAACCAACGCCAGCACTCTTCCCATGAGAAGCTGATTTCCATCATCTTTCAGAACTCTGTGCCTAATTTATATTGTAACACTGAACAAAAACTGTTTCAGAGGTTCTTTGTCAGATGGCCTATTTTGTCTCCAAAGCTGCAGGTGGCTTTTGTTTTGCTGCTGTGGCTGCGGAGCCTTTGAACTCCCTGCCTCTTCTCTCAGGGAGTCTGAAGGTCCAACCAGGACCAAGAAAATGAGCTTTGATGGTTTATTTCCTTCCTAATTTAACGAACTACTTAACTTTCAGTGATTCTAGCTGTAATTTATTGATAGCAGAGCTGTAACAGGCGCCTTCTCAGCCTGCTGCATTTCATTTAATCAACTCCAGTGACTAGATGTCCTATTTTCAGACACTGTACATCACAGGAATGTAGTTTTTTTTTTTTTTTTGTTACACTAATTATTTATTATTTATCTGAAGCTTAATGTTCTCAGCACATGCATGACCAAGCTTTAATCCTGAGGCACAGCCACCTCATTCTCCACCACTTCCACACACACTTATTAGGTTTTGGCAACTCTTGTCACGTTTTTGCATTTCAGACACTTTACTGAGAATTTCAGCACTTTTTTAAAAAACCAAATTGTTTACATCATTAGAGGCTTCAATAAGCAGGCAGTACAGAATGTGTTTGTACGCTGAGGTTAAACACGGCTCATTCAGCTACTGTGTTAGCTATGTGAGGGAGGGGAGGAGCTGGACTGAAACTGGCGGGCACAGAGTTTAACTCAAATACTGGATTGGTTTCTTTGCTACAGTTGCTGTGTTTTTTTACTAATAAAATGCACTGAATAAGCAGAATTTAAACCACTAAATGCTTTACAAAGTGTCACTTTCTTTTCCAAAATGTAACCCTGTTCTCTAAAACCTTACCAGTGAAATTCTGACTTCTGAGACGTTTCGTTAGAGCTGATCAGGAGCTGTAAAGCGCGTGACCCAGCCAACTCTTTTTTTTTTAGAGCAACGTCTAAACTTCCCTCTGTGTTTGCGGGAGCTGAGTCAGACTCTTGTCATCTGTTCTGCAAAGGCTTTACAGATTGTCGATGTGTCAGCGCAGCTCCAGACAGATGGACAGAATAAATATCAAATCTGTGAAATTCTCCCAACAGAGGCTGCTGCTGAAGTCACGCATCTTTCCAGAAGAAAAAAACAAATAGCCGGACGATTCGCTCACTGCCGTCCCTGTCCTCGTAAAATTTATTAGATTTGCTGTGAATGTTTAAATGAAGTGGGAATTATTTAAAGCAACATCTTGATATGTGAGCTTTCAGAAAATCCTGAAGGGAACCGCAGAGTCAGATCAGGCCTCTCTGAACCCTGAAAGCTGCACCATGTCTTTACTTCGGTCGAAGTTCTGACTTCCTGTTTCATACCAACCTTCAACTTTTATTTTGCTTCTAATTTGTAAGTTATATTTAAGAAGATTTCTGAACTGATCCTAATGAGTTTATGTGATTTAAGTACAACATAGCTGACTGTTGACATGTTTTCTTAATGTCCTCCCATCTCCAGTTGAAAATTAGTAGAAGAGTCTCGAAACAGCCAACGAGTGTTTCCAAACACATGAACAAATAAGGAGAGACTGAAAGCCTCTGAACCCAGAAGTTAATTTCCAACAACACAAATCAACAACCGTTGAAGGCCTTGAGTCAAAGTGAACCTATTCACCCTGCTGCTCTGATCAAACTGAGGTTTTCTGTCTTTTCTGAGTTTCCCCTCCAGGCAGCAGCTATCAGGCATTTCTGCACATCGTTCTGCTGAAAGTCTGTCTGTGGGACAAAACCAGATCACAGATCGAAATCTCTCCAATAGCAGAGTCACTGCTTTCATTTGCTCTCTCAGCCCGGCGCTTCCTGTTCGCTTCCACTTCATGGTGCTGAGCTGCAGCGGTGTGAATGTGTCGTGCATGCGTCCACCAGGTGCCGTCTGGAAATAAACGCACAAGCATCGACACGTTTCGCAGGCCGCCGCGCTGAAAGCTGTTGTCTAATATGTCTTCCTGATGGCTCTCGTTGGACCCAAATCCTTTCAGATGAATAATTCATCGGGAGTTTGAATAATCCACTCGGCATCAAACACTTAGTCTACGGCCCGGCTTCCTCTTCCTCTCCCCCACTTTCACACTGGACCTTCATGTTTATTAATAACAGTCCCATCAGACTTCTCGGGTTTCAGCGCAGGCTCGTCTCTCATGCGGCTGCTCGTTTCTCACTGTGGCGCAGATGAGAGATTTATCTAGTCAATGTAAAAAAAACCAAAACATGGCTTGCAGCAGCGGCCATGTTTCATACCGTCTGACCATGTGAGTCTCAGGTTTTTATCACAGCACTCTTTCAGTCACAAGCTAACTAAAGGCGTTAAGAATAGCTGATCGAAGGAAAGCCTGGTTGATTTCAACACTCCAATCATATCCTGACAGAATACTAAATAATGGAGGGAATTATGAAAGAAACGAGATCTGGGTCAAAGTGTCGGTCCAGAAATTAAAGGCGGCAGGAGCAAGTTGTTATTTACTCAATAAGAATGGCCAAGCATGGGGTCATGCCTGCAGAGAACTGAAACTTGGAAAAATGAGCCAAATATAAAGCTTCGGGAGCTAACAAAGCAGGTAGTAAATGTTATGCGTACAAAAAGTCAAATATCCAGAAAGAATCAAGTCTTTCTGTGGCTGCAGAGAACGTGGCTGGAAATCCATTTATTTAAATATCAGTTGGACTTTATGTAAGTATTTCAGCTTAAATCTGTAATTGACTCTATAGATTCAAGAAAATCCCAATAAGTTTCAATTGTCCACCCAGTTGTTGTTTTCAGGGTTTGGTGACCTTTAATCTGTCAGTTGCCAGAGACGACCGCTTACAGGAAGACGCACAGCCTGGGATAATCGTTACCTCCTGGAAAAGTAAAATGAATCATTAAACCCAAACGTTTAATTTGACATTCCTGCTGTTGATGGCTACATGTTTCTGACGAGAGCTGCAGATTTTGGCACAAGTGGGAGAAAAGAGTTGGCAGATTTGAACTGCAGTCATTGGAAAAATGCAGTTTGTGGTGTGTTGGCGCAGAAAAATCGACACACTCCTCGAGTTCTTCTGTAAACCTTTTCACCTTTATTTTCTACATTTGGATCAGCTCAGTGTGGAATCCTGGACATGTCAGTTCTTTTTAACCCCGCGCTCTCTTCCCTGTCCCCCCCCTCTCTGACATGGGAACAAATGATACACTCCCTCTGTCTCACTATCAAAGACATCGTCACAGTCACTCTGAGGCTCAGATATGAAAGTCCAGTCGATGGCCTCCTCTCTCTCTCTCTCTCTCTCTGCTGTGTAAACCCTTCCTCCACTGGAGGAAGCTGAAATGTTTCAAACTTTTACAAAACTACTCCAGCTCTGACGTGCAGCAGCAGGAGTGACAACACAACAAAAACAACACAAAAAAAACCCACAGTATGATGGCTGAAATGATAATGACATGATTCAGTTGTCTGAGGCTGAAATATGAATGTAGAAATACTGCCGGTAAACTTGCAAAACAAATAAAAAAAAAGGATGATTATGAATTCAGATATATTGTCTGCTCCTCCTTGTCGCGCCACTGTTATTTCATCAGCGCTTCATTTTTCTAAAACACCAAATAAACGCTGCTTACGTTAATAGCAGCTGGACTGCTGTAAAAAATGAATATGCAGACATGAGACGTGCTGATCGTTGCTCAGCTGTATGGGTTCTTCCAAAAAAACCAAGTTTGACCTAGTAAACGTGGAGCTGACAAACCGGGAGAGGTACTGAAGAGAAGCACAGTCACACCTGCACAGATGCATCCAACACCCTCCACAGCAGAATGGAAGCTCTTGGAGTCTATTTTCTGAAAAAGGGTCGACGTGGGAAAGACGTTTGCGTCTCAACAAACAAGATCGGCAATAAATAGTCGATTTATTTCAGTAACTCGAAACTTGTTACACACAGTGATTCTCACTTTTTGTTTTCATGATCACGATGTTCAGCTAATGAAATCCCCCCCAAAAATTCAGTTTCCAAAAAGATTGTAATATTACGTCAAACCAACAACATAGGGAAGACCGCTGACTGGATTGTTGTCCAGCAGAGCGACGCTGAAAGACTCCATATGGATGTGCCACAAAACAAGCTGCTTGTTCAGAGATATGTATCCAAGCATGTTAATGGAAAGGTTAGTGGAAGGAAAAGAGTACCAGAAAAACAAGGGAATCTCGGGCTTAAAAAGACTATGAAGTAAAACCTATAATGTTTTTGTGAGAGTCTCTACAGGACATGAGCTGATCAGGAACTCTGAGGAGTGGACCAAAGCCCTCTTCTCAGATTAAATAAAAGTTTAGATTTCTTTTAGGAATCAGAGTGATCAGAATCCAAGCTGCTTAAGGCCCAGTGGGAAGTTTCCACAAGCAGCAGCACTGCTGGTGTTAGTCCTTTGCTCCAAGTCTACAGTCAGCACAGCTGTCTGTTAGAAACTTTTAGAGCCCATCAAGCTTCCCATTGAAAAGGTTAATGTCATTTTACAGCAGGACTTGGTCATCAGCAACATGTGGAGATTTATCAAGAAGATGAGAAACGTTGGTGAGATGAGAGCTGCCGGTGGAGCGACCTGTTGAACTCGTTTACAGGCTGGCTGCCTCCGTGCTACGCTGCATTGATGCATGATTTTCAAGAAGCTCTGCTGTAAAAATCTGCTTTTTTTGGTTCGACATAATATTTTAATTTCCAGAGACTTTGGGGTTTTAATCGCCGTAAGCCTGAAGTATCAAAAGTAATATTTGATTTGATCAACACGGTAAAGGAATCTACGCTGACGGAGTTTCATTTTTTTAAACTGAATTACTAAAATATATTTAAAGATATTGTTATTTACTGCGATGCACCTGTGTGAACTACCTTTTACAGCGTGTGTGTGGCTTTGTAGTGTCTTGTAGGAGTTTCTGATGGTTAAACACTACCGGAGGAAGAAGGCATCAGATAAATATAAAGTAGCTTGTTGATGTGTTTTTTGCGAGTGCGTTGGCTGTACGTTGAACATCCTTGAAGAAAAACTAAAAGTTACTGACATAAGTAGAAACAGACAAGGCATGTAAAAACTGGACATAGAAATCTGAAGATATCACAAACATATTTCTATATCTCTACATTTCTGCTGTTGGCAGACGTCGGGTTGAGTTTTCGCTCTCTCTCTCTTTTTTTTGTTGTTTTTTTTGTTTTGTTCCCTCCCTTGGAAAATCCTCAGCTTGGATGCTTCAGTCTGTAAGATGAGATATCGAGATGTAACACCAGAGGGGGACATACACTGCTGCAAGACTGCAGGGAGGGGTTTTGACACGTCCACACACACAAGACGTAATCTCTCTCTCTCTCTCTCTCACACAGACACACACACACACACACGCACGCAGTCAAACATGCATCCTTCTTCATAAGAGTTCACGTTCAATGTCCGTTATAAAATTAAATTAAAAAAAAAAACAAACAGGAACAAAACAAAAATCAAATGTTCAGGCCCCTCCTTCTAAAAGCAGACATTCATCTCGGGTCAAACAGACAGATAAGTGCACGCACACGCACGCACACACACACACACACGCACGCACGCACGCACACGCACGCACGCGCGCGCGCGCACGCACACACACACGCACACTGATCGCAGGCAGTCAGTAAACGTTAAGTGATGAGCTGAGGGGAAGCTGTGTGCAGAACCTCGACTCCACGGTTCTAGAGCCAGTCACTCTTAAAATCTCTTCTTTAAAAAAAAACTAATGCAAACCAACAGATATGGTCTTTTAGAGGGAGTCTCTACAGTCCTCTCTGTTCGCTCGGAGGAAGCTTGAAGACTCTCCGTCCTCTGATCTCTGGCAGAGGTAGTACCGTCCCATCCGTCCTCCTGAATCCCCTCCGGGGAAGTCTCTGTCCTCGTGCCCGAGTTGAATAAAACATGGCCGCTCGTCTGACCGCTCGCTCTGGGCCGCTGTGTGTGTGCGTGTGGGAGTGTACGTTTGGGAGTGTGCGGAGTGCGGTCAGAAGACCTCGGGTAGTGTGACGTTGCGCAGCAGCCACTGTTGGGAACGTGAGTGAGTGCAGTCTCTGACACTGGGCACCTGGCTGTCCTCCTCGCTGGCCTTGTCCAGGCACTGGTTGCTGTTGACGTGGACCAGGGTCAGCTTCTGCACAGGCAGAGGGCGATAAAAGAGCACATGTGATCCAGCTACAAAATACATTTTCTTAAATTATGGATGCAGGCAATTAATTGACTTATGACTGTCGATTAATTAGGTTAAAGTTTGTTCCAATTGATTAACTAATGACATTTGCTCAGATCTTCTTTTTAGTATTGTAGTTTGGCTGCCATCCAGAAGAGGCACTGCAGGCCATCGTCAACCAGAGCTAGTGATACAGAAATAAAGCCATTAGCAGAACAGGAAAGAGAAATGGTCCAGAGTTCAGTGTGGGATACAAAACAACCTCGGCTTTGAAATATGAAGAAACATCAAACTCATTAAACTGAAACTAACTCAAATAAACTTTTTTTTTTTTGCTGAAAAAATTGTCGAAACAGGTTACTTTATGGTTCTGTGTGAATTTTTGTGCAATTAGTTCAGGTCAGCATTATATTCGCCCTTGATGGAAAAAACACGATGCTAATAAACAGGACTGATTCTGTTGGCGATTGTGAGTTAATGAGAAGTTGGAGGGAAGTTCTAATATTTCTACAAGACCAAACACAGGCAAATACAGCTGACAAAATGTTAAAAGTTCATTCTTTTGTTTTTTTCCAATTCAGCGTATTAAGATGATCGACTCATTTGATACAAGAAAATGAGGTTTTTAAGAAAACTGCTAGTCAATCAATGAGATCCACCAACTTTAGATTGTTTTCATTAATCAAAAACTTGCATCCTGAGTTTGAATCCACAAAATTAGGTGCATAAATTTTAATCTGAATGTTGCACAGCATCTAGATTCCAGTCTCTCAGTCGAGTTGAGCAACGTGTCAGAAATGTCTCCCCACTCACCACAGGATCGTATTCCCACAGCTGGTTGCCCTTAAGGTGATGACACTTGAGCATCATGACGGGTCCGTTCAGCTTGGAGACGTCTAAACACAAGTCGTCCGTCCGGATCTCCTTGTTGGCTGTGTAGGAGAAAACCTGCAGGTCACACAAACACACACACACACCGGTGTTTTAAGGAGCTTATTTTAAACTCATTTATGTGATACCTCTAGTCACGAATAAAGCCAAGCAAAATTACACATACATGTTGAACTTGTTCACGTCAACAGCCAGTAACAGCAGTCAGCCTGCTTTGTGTCATTGTCCATTTGAAAGACCCGAAGCTTTAACGTCCTGCCTGATGTCGCTTCAATATTTACAAATAATGTTCTTTCCTCATTATTCCATCTGTTTTATCGAAACAGCCCCACAACATGATACTGTCACCACCATACTTCACAGATGGCTTGACCTTTCCAGGCTTGCATTTTCAATCTGCAATGTTTCTTTTGGAATAATGGCTTTTACCTCGAATTCCCTTCAGTCCCTGTCGGTACAGGAAATGTTTCGCTGTGTATAATGACACTGCCTCACCAGTTCCAGCAGCGTCTTCACAACATCTTTGGCTTTTCCTCTGGGATTGATTTGCACATTTTGGACCAAAACAGATTAATCTCTTGGACACAGAACCTGCCTCCTTCCTAGGTTGAATGATGATTGAATATTCCCTGTTATGTTTATAGCTACATACTGTATGATTCTTTGTAAAGGTTAATGCAGCACCTTAAAGTGTCTTTGAGTATTTTTCTGAGGCTGAACTGGACTTGTGAAGCTCCACAACTCTCTTTCTGATATCTTGGCTGATTTTTCCGACTTTCCCACAATGAAGCATTTTGTTCAACATACGGCTGTTAAATACATAAACAGAGGTCTCTCCAATTAATTAAAATGTGTCAGATAACCAATCGGAAGTTTCTAAAGACATGGCATCATCATCTCGGCTTTCCCTCATTGTTTAATAGGACACTAATTATTCTGTATGCAAACTTCTGATTTTTAAGACATTAAAAGATAAATCACGGACAAATTCTCCAATTATTGTGGCAAAAATAAACTATTTTAACGATTCTAACTAATCTAGGACAACAGATGTTTGGTCTGATTTAAAAACTGACAATGAGGAAAAAATGGTGTTTGTATGTTTCCTTTGGTTGCATGAAAACTTCTGGTTTCAACTGTACCTCACAGACAAACACAAAGTTCATTGTCATGAAGAGGAAGCGAAAGAACATGGACTCAGCATTAAACAGAACCAGCCTTTCTCACAATTACAGCTGCTAGATGCTGCAGGATCTTCAGTCTGGTTAATAATTGCTGAAAAATGTTTCTGGTTTCCATAATAAACCTTGTACACATTTATTTTCAGGACATTTTTTTTTGTCTTGCTGCAGCAGGAGCTGCTTACTCACCTGGTTGCCTCCCATGCCGTGGCAGTTGAAAATGCCAACCTTCTCATTTTCCTTTCGGGCCATGTTGTCCAGGCACTGGTTGGTCTCCACGTTACGGATCTGAGGCAAACGCACACAGATCAAAGTGAGGATCACTTACCGTGGACAGTGGCGCAGTCTGTGTGTGTGCATACGGCAGTGAGCGTACCTCTCCCAGCGAGTAATAGTGCCGGGGGATCTGGGAGTCGGGGTAGACGTTCTCCAAATACCAGCTGAAGGGTTTACACTGAAGCTTTTGTCTCAGAGCAGTGCGAGTTGAGATGTCGCCGTAGTCCACCTTGGTCACACCTGGAGACGCAAACACAGACACGCATGCATTAACGTGGAAAACTGCCTAAAGGCGGCCATGACTGCTGAAATATTACTTGGCATGAAAAGTTTTGCTTGTAAACTAAACACATGATGTGTTCCTAATGAGACTATTAAAATACAGTCATGAGGTATGACTGTTCATAGACTGAACCCAAAATCCCCACAGTGAAACACGGTGGTGGCATCATCATGTACCACGAAGCTGAAGATGGATGTGGCTAAATACAGAGCTACATGGAGGAAAAGCAGAAGAACTCTTAGACTGGACAGTGACCAGAAATATACACCTGAAGCTCCAACGAAATGGTTTAAATCAAATCACATTTGTATGTTACTTAGTGGTCCAGTCAAAGCCTAGACCTAAATCCAGTTGAGAATCCAAAGAAAAGCTTTTAATTAGTATTCAAAGATGCTCCCCATTAAATCTGACTTTGTGCTATTAGGCATAAAGAAGTGACAAAAACCTCTGATTCCAAAGATGCACAGCTGGTAGAAACATTCTCCTGAATACTTGGGTTGAAAAGAACTGAATTAGTCAGCAGATTAAAAATGCATAATGCATTTTTCGATTTCACTGCCTTAATTTTTTTAACCCAGATATTTCTTTTCTCCCCTTTATGTCACATGTATGCACAATGTTGTGTCGTCACATAAAAACCCAACGAAACTCAAGTAGCTTTGTGGTTGTAACAAATGTGAACACATTTATAAGTCACTGTGTTTTAACCAGTAGCAGGCATTCAGCAAAAGTCCTGTGTGTTTCAGCAAGAAAGTAAATAATAAAAATAACGAGAAACCTTATTATCATACTTTTTATGTTTAATGTCACGTTGACAGCAACAATATTCAAACACCCGGTTTCCAGCATTTCTGTTTTTCATTTATTTGGACAAGCGAGAGTGACGGGAGTCCTGGAGCCTCCGGCGAGGTGTAATCCATGAGGTCAGAGTTTTCTTTCTTTATTCTGTCATGTTTCCATGACAGCATGGATTAGTCTGACAGACCTGCCGTGTTTGTGCAAGAATAACATGCAGTGTATCTAGAGCACTTCGTACTGCCTCAAACTTACAGAGGAAGGCGTTCTTTATTAAGTTTTCTGAGCACTAATCTTTTGGCAAATGTCTGCTTTCCACTAAGGTGAGTGCAAACAGTTCAGAAATCATGCTATGATGAAACTATGCAAATATCAGAACGACCTATTGAAGTGGCTGGCTGCGTTTCTTTCTGCAGATCTCTCTATCTGCCTGATGATGCAGACGGACGGCTGGAGAAGCCTAATCTCCCGTCCATCCCTCAGGACATCAGGACCGTCTTAACTTCAGCTCCTCTCTTCCACATTTCCCTCCTGTCTCGCTTGTTAAAATACTGATACATTAATAATCAGTAATAAAATATTAACAGTCCAACGAGCCCTTTCACTGCTGACTGTAAAACTGTCGGCTGGCCGCAGGAGCAGCTTCCTGTGGTTCCCGGCAGCATTCCATGCCAGCCGACGCTAGAAATTCAACCTCGCGTTTGTTTCCCAGCCACCGTGCCAATCAGGAAGAGGAAATGTTTTTGTTTCTGTTTGTATATGTGTGTGTGTGTGTGTGCGCGTAAGAGTGTGCTGGTAAGAATTTAACTGAGTGCATTTAACAAACATGTCAAAAAGCAATCAAACACACACGTGTGTCATTAGTTCTTATTTTAATGAGGAGGCTGGCTTTCCACAGACGGCATTGCGTAGTTCAGAGCTGAAACCTGGAGAGTTAGCACGGAGAGTTAGCACGCTGCCGGGACGGTTAAAACGTTTGAACCAACTGTGATGTAATGTTCTTGCTTTGCATTAACCTGGATTTTTTTAGAAATAAAACACTGAAAACATCTCCTTAAAACACAAACGGAAATACATCTAAAAACCTCTTAAATAAGGTGGGTAAGCAGTACAGTATTGCCAACAATATTGTATTATTATCATTCTCTGATAATAAAAATGAACTATGTAACTATATAAACCGACTATATTGTTGGGAGGGTTCAAATAAGTCTTGCTCTGTTGGTTGCGCCGTCAATGTGGCATCACCAATACTGTGTTTGTGTTTTAAAATGATTATTGTGCTCGTTTCAGGTAGCACTACTTTAAGCAATCGGTGCAGAGAAGTAACCTATTTGACCTTTCACCGGGTCACCCAGTCCATTTTCTTTATCAGCTCTGAGTAATTTTAAAAAGATCAGTACCTTTTAGTGCTTTGGTCAGAATGAAGTAAATTTGCAGAGCAAAAACCAACTGAAGACCATAAAACTCATTTTTATTCTGATGAGGATTAAATATTATACTGTTCTACAGGTATGTATTTGTTTTAATAATTAATCAATTACCTCTTCCAATGATTTTGTTTTTGTCTTTGACAACCTATTGAATCTAGTGAGAAAAGCCACTGACTGTGGCTCAAACAGTGATAATTAAAGAAGCAAATATCAGGCTGTTATTGGTTTGCTTCTAAAAAATGAACAACTTATAAAATAAAACGGATTTGTAAGTCATATGGAAACATTAAATGTCTTCACAGCTTGTTGCACAATTGGTTTATCTGTAGCTAAGAAACTGACTACATAATCTCTTGGTTGAATATTTAGAATTTATTATCTGGGTGGTATTAGTGACTGCATCTGATCAGAAGGATCAGCTTAAGGTCCTAATCACGCATTTCTGACCACATTTAGCTCCCAGTATCTGTGCTGATCCTTCTGCTTTTGGATCTGTGTCATGTCCACCCAGCACTGCTGTCGGAACTGGTTGTTCCACCAGAGAACAACAACTAGTTTTGCCAACCTCAATGTAGATTGAAACAATTTTAAAACAGAAATTGAAAGCACCAACAAATCTAACAGTTCCTCTATTTCTCGAGATCAGAGTTCACATTTTTCATATCAAAATTTCACACTTACAGTTGCTTTTTTATACTTGCATTTTCTCAGGTCTCAGGCCACTTTTAACAACATTTGTAAAGTATGTGAAAGACTTTTAGTAGGTATTTCTACAGTGGACAGGCTTTAAATATGTAATACGAACCACAGACAGGAAGGAAGACTGTCAGAAAAGGGAGGGTGGATGGAAAATCATGAACACTGTTAGTTGATAGGATTGGGAATTAAATGGGACAATATAAATTTTTCCAAACGTTTTATTTTCCCAAACATATCCCAAGCTGTAAAATCAAAGATCACAGAAACCCAGAAAGGAACACACAAAGATGGCAGCAGCAAGTTTTCTCAGCTAACGCTTCTGGTGTTGGAGCCACAGAGAAGAAGGCAGATGCTGAAGGGTTTTAGTAACTTCTGTACAGGTTTCTGACTGAGACGTACGAGGTGAATATTTAATTTTAAACGACTCAGAGACAAAAACTTTTGATCAGGTCAAATTGGCCACAACATGACAACAGGACCAGTAGTAGACTAGAAACATTTCTTTTGTCATAAAAAATGACCAAGATGACAAAACATAGTTTTCTGTCATTTCACTTTTGGGCTGCCTCCCCATTTTCTGCGTGTGTTTGTGTGTGTTCAGGTAAATAGATCCTCTGTAGCATGAAATTACTTGCCGCCACACATCTTGCGCCGCTCGCCCCCCCCATCACCGCAGTATCACGCCGTCTCCAGGTTAATGGATTGATCACACCTGCCACAGAGATTAACCTCCACACCCGAGTTCCTGCGTGCATATCTTAATGAACACAGAGACACGCGTCGCATGACTCACCGGGAGAAATGATGTAGAAGAAGTTCTTGAACTCATCCATCCAGACCTCTGCCAGGCGGCGGTTGTTCTTGTTGATGATCTGCCCCGTTCCTCCGGGGAAGGTGTAGGGCGTTGCCTTTCTGAACACGTGGCCCACGTGAGAGCATGTGACGATCTCCAGAGTCCCTCCGCACTGCCAGATCTGCGAGGGAAAAGTTTGCAAAATGCTGTAAACCACGTTAAACCTTCACTTTAATTGTTTGATTGTTGTGATAATTAATTGAATAAAAAAAAGAAGAAGACATTGCAGATTATATAGGTATTAACAATTTAAAATTCATAAGCACTTTTTATACATTATTATAAATACATTAAAAGATGTAATTAAATATAAAATGTAATTCATTTTCTGTATATGAAAGTAAGTGGGGTTTTTTTGCCTAAAATAAATGCAATAACATCATTCCTTTAATTAATTTGAATCGCGTGTAGCTAAAACATATTTACATAAAAAGGTGTTTTTGTCTCAAATGCAAAATGTATAAATGTGTTTGTACAGTTTAGGCTTAATTACTGCTCAGAAAATGTTCCTTTTTTCACTAAATGAATTTTTTTTAGTCTAACACTCACTCCACTTTGTGATGAATCGATTACCAAATTAGTTGCCGATTATTTCAATAATCTGAGGAATCGTTTCAGCCCTGAGCTACATGTGCTGACTGTTGAAACGTTGGAGTCTGTGCCGTCTGCGCTCTAACTGAGTCTGAGATCCAGTCAGGATGACACCGTGAACCGTCCAGAAGTTGTGCCAGAACACTGAAAAACGGAGTCATGCTACTTGGCTGAGTTCGCTCACTCTGAAAGAGATTTCCAGGTTTTCTCCGCCCCAGATGTCCATGCCTGCGTCATACGTGCCGATCTCCTGAAAATAATCCCTGTCTATGGAGAACAAGCCGCCTGCCATGGTGGGAGTCCTGGAGAGAGGAATAAATTAAAGAGTGAGGCTGGTTCGTGTCACTTCATTCCCCAGCAGCCTGTTTTCTAAAGGTCACTCAGTATCTACAGATCCCATCAGAGCTTTATATTTCAGCCCCTGTTCTTTATGGTCTTCCTGTTATTTTCCATTTCTCTTCTTTCTTCTGCTGCGGCCTCTGGTGTTGTGATGGCTGTGTCAATGTTTAATGGCCTCAGTTCTCTTCCCCTTCACAATCTCGTAACACAATAGCTTCATTTTTTAAAATAGAAGAGGCCTGTTTTCTTCCTTCAGTTAACATCCTAAATTCAGTTGAAAAAAACAAAACAAAAAACAATACATCCCTCAGAAATAAACCCAAACAAAATGGCTGGAGAATAAAAAGCTGGTAAAGAAAAAGATCAATGATGATTTTGATGTTAAAAAAGCAACAGTGGGAGTGTAAAAAAGGTGAAGACAATATATTGAAGGGCTTCATTTCAACAGATTATACATCAAAGTTCTGCAAACTCTTCAGTGCAAAATTAAATCAGTTTTTTTTATGACATTCAAACACATAACAGTAAAACAAACAACAGGCACAAAATTAAAGGGGAGCTCTGATCCTGAATAAAGACGTTTATCCAAACAGAGTCTGTCACGTTCATAAAAGCGGCTTTTACAGCCCTCTGCTTATCAAAACACTGATGTCCACAAATGCTGGCAGCACAAAACGACCACAAAAACTCTACACAGAGACAGGCTCTGCAGCGTGAACTGAAATAGATTCTTATTCCAGTCTGGAGGAGACACAGCAGCATGACACTAATATTTCTTGTATTAGAAAGCCTCAAAGTCAATTTTCTTTTTCATGCTGCTGTAAACAATTGTGACTTTAGTTGCTGAGATTTAGACTTTGATGACGCTCGTCACACTGCAACAGCAAAAACAAAGGCTACAGTTTTCTGTGGATTAGCTGCTGGAAAGAAGAGCCTTTCAGCTTTTAAGTAACAAACTCTGCATTATTATTGGTTTATAAATCCCACCCTTCTTCTTGCAGAATTGCTTTACTTCTGATTTATGACAAGACTTTAACTAGGCCACAGAAAAGAACATATTTTTACTTTTGTGGTTTGTGGTACTTTAGATGTTCTGGGTCTTTTTGTTATCTTCTGGATGAGTTGGACTCTCCTGGGAAGGTTCATTGATCCATGGTTTTTCTATTTGTGGATCATCGCTCCTTTAGAGCTTTGGGAGTCTGTGACAATTTTACATTTTAAGGACTTTTTGGAAATTGAACAAATTACAGACAAGAATGTGATGCTTAAAAATAGTCACTAAACCACAGAAATTCATAGTTTAAATGTTTGTTTCAATTTTATGGGATTATATGGAAGTTATAAACCTTTTTTATAATCAAAGTGAGACATTTCACAGTTTCATCAGTTGTATTTCTTTAGTTAGTGTCGTCTCACTTTAATGATAAAAAAAACAGCAACAAAGCCTCACTGCTGCGTGACAGAATTGGGTTCGTCGCCTAATGTTAAATAATCTTCTTTGGCCTGACACTGCGACCCATTTTTCTACATTTTAGGCCACTTACGAGACACCCTTAGGAAAATTCTGCAAAGCAGAACTGTGGAAAACAAGCAAAAACAAGGGCGCTGCAAGTTACATAAGATATATTATCTCAGTGACCTTGAAAAGTGGCGTCAAGAAAGCTTAGAAACAAGAGCAGGAAGCGCAGATGACAGACAGCAAGAATAAACTCTTGATTTCTGCTTCAAGGTCTAAAACGTGAGAGGCAAAGCAACAGGAACTATAAAGCGACAGAGTTCAGCTGCAAAACAGAGTTCAGCTGCAAAACAAAGTTCAGTGCGTTCATTCAGTGCTGCTGCCCTGAAAGCATCTCATGATTAAGCATGTCCAATTGATTTGCTACATACAACCGCTTCACACAACTGTGAATGCCTATCAGCAACATTAAAGCTTATAGGATGTGCTGCTTCAAATAGCTGATGAATGGAGTGCGAGGAGGATTTGAAGTGTCTGACTTTATTTGGTCTCTTAGGGAAAATCTTTTCACACATGATTCAGCAGACAGGTCAGACTCAGCCGCACAGAAGCAGAACAAACAGCCTGATTTCCAGTAGTGAAAATCTACTGGAGGAGCTGTGGCGCGTGCGGTTCCCACACCTGACGGGTAGCGTGCGGTCTCCTTTGCGGCGGTCCATCTCTCTCTGGGGTACGGGGTACCAGCGGAAGTTGAGCTTCCAGTTGAAGCCTCCGTACGTCATGTCGGACCCCGCCATGTACTCGAACGTGTCGTCGCTGATGACGTCGATGATGGGGCACACAACCGTTTTCCTGGAGGCGCAATTAGACAAACAAAACAGGTCAACGGTCAAACACACGACACACAGAGAGAATGAAGCACAGTTGGCAAATAGATGCAAGATGCTATTAATTGCTTTTCAACTACCGAACCAAATACAAGAAAAAACAAAAGTCGGATTCTGGGTGTTCTAAACGCAAAGTAAAACGTAGATATCTGTAGATGTTTGTGAGCTCTTGGTAAGCAGTAAACAAGGGTTTAAAACTGCAGACAACGATGAGCAAGGACAAGCCCCCTGCAGGCTCAGCAGCAGCTTACAGATTCTTTATAACACTTGGTGCTAGTGTCCGTGCGTCTGTTGTAATTTGGCCTTACTTGTCCTGTTTGATGCGGGCCAGCAGAGGCTCTAGCCACCCTGTGGTGCACTCACAATGAGCATCCAGGAAGGTGATGACCTGGCAACCCAGCACAAAAACATTAGACAGTCGTCAGATGCAGGTCACAGGATAATTAAAATCGCATAAACAATCTTGGAAAAACAGACATTGTTCTTAAACTTTGCCATGTTTTGTCATGCAAAAGCCACAAAATGATTAATTTTAACTGCATGTTATGTGCAACCATGTGGGGAGATACAACTTATCTCTGGATTAAATGACTCCACTAAATTTCTCCCTGATGTGTCTGCTGAGCTTTTTGGTCTTCATGAAGTAGTTTATTCCTAACAGACCTTTGACGTTGTAACAGAACAGTTATTCAATAATAAAAAAAAAATGCATGGCTTTCACATTTCATTTGTCAAAAATGTATAACATGTCGTATGCTTTTTCCTTCCTGATTAACACACAACATTGTGTAGGTCAATGAAATAAAACCCCCAATAAATCATATGGAAGTTTTTAGATACAGCATGACACAACATGGACCAATAGGTGACCAGATGTGTACACACACCTGGCCGGTAGAGATGGAAGCCCCTTTGAGGCGAGCGCGGATGAGTCCGGACCGCTGCTCCATCCTCACCACTCTGACAGGCACTTCTAACTTTCTGACGTACTGCTCCAGCGGCCGTTTCAGAAAATCTAACACAAACACACCGAATACAGAAATATGCAAACATGAAACAAACTCCTAAGCATTTGGATTACAAGCTGAGCTCTTTGTAGCACCAGAGATCAAAGGAAACTATGTGATTATGTTATGTGCTGCCGCTGTGTGTGTGTGCGCCTTGGCATGGATGTCTGCATCCCTTCTACCTGCGCAAACACTCCCCCCCTGTTCCACCACATCCAAGTAGAGGTCTCAAACGGTGCATTGTTGCTATGGTTGCAGCTGGGGTGGTGGTGTGTGTGTGTGTGTGTGTGTGTGTTTGGGTTGGGGGGTGAGGCTGAGTTATAACAGTGTAATCCCTGCGGCTGGCAAATTAAAGACCTAATCTCCCCCCAAACAGGGATTACCAGTGAGGGTTGGCACACACAACCCTACACAGACATGTAAATGTTGACAAGTTACATAAAAACAAACGACAAAGCACATATACAGAAATGCTAAATAAAAGCAGAGTAAGCCTGAAACAGGAGACGCTGTAGGAATTGTCTGCAGTGTGTGTATGAGTTTACCTCTCTCGCTGGCATCGTCCACCAGGACAATCTCCTCCAGCAGTGTGTGTGGAGACCGATCAATAACTGAGTGGACGGTTCGCAGCAGTGTACTCCAAGCCTCATTGTGAAATACAATCACCACGCTGGTGCGAGGAAGATTATCAGGGTATAGCTTGTTCTTGCACCTTTGAAGGGTGAATTCGACAAACAGAAGAGAATTTGTACATCAACTAAACTGTTTTTACTGCAGCAATAATTATCAGGTACTTCAGAGATTTGAACAGAAAAACTGGTCAGGAGAACTTCGACAAATCCAGCCTCTGTTTACTTCTACGAGAGAAGAAATGAAAGATCAACTAACTCATATGAAGACATCATTAAACCAATCAGAGCGTCATCAGGTCCTGACCCTGCTAAAAGTTTATTCCTATCAAAGAAAACTAGTGATGAATAATGAGGTAGAAGCTGAAAAGATATTCCCAACACCAGAGAGTGATGCAGGACAGATTGCAAATCTGCAGGATGGCAGTTGATTAATGTTCCTAATTAGATCTCAAGTCAGCTCACAGTGCTCCTTCTACGAGAGAGAAAATAATGAAATACCTACGAGAGAACAAGAAACAGATCAAACTGAGGAAAAAAACAAATCTGGGAAAGTGTCAGTCAGAAGGTTACAACCACCTATCATGAGGACAAATGTCCTTAATAGCAGACAATGATTGACGCTTCTAAGGTGTTTTTTCCTCAAAGTGGAACGATTACACTACAAAGATGATTAATACATTTTAGTAGCTGTGGCTACGATATAGCTTAGCACCATCAGTGTGCATAAAAATCAACATTTCTTAGAGGATAAAATCTATCCTCTTTTTGCAAAAGTTTTGCTTTTGTTTATTTTGAAACCTTGAAACATAAATAAAATGGTGGCTCTTTAAAATAACACATTATCCCGTTGTACTTATTTGCTAAATTGACTTTTTTAAAAGGTTATGCACTGGCTGCTCTAGATAAGTTGTACTTATCATGACTGACTGGAAGAAATGTTTGTTGAGGTTGCAGACCACTGATCTAACCTCACGCTGTCACGGGTGGATAAAAGTAAACTTTTGCTAGTCGAGAAATATCTTCTGGAGAAGAGTTGCATAATCCAAGGAGCCGACTGAATTATTCGGCCATAACAGCAAAAAGTACATTTGAATTATTTCAATCTAATATTCTTGCTCATGATTAGTAAATGAAAGCCATTATATCAATAGAAATATCTATTTACAGTATTCTCTGGGGAGTATTTTGAAACCAAACACTGACATTAGTAACATTGGTTAAAGGCTATAAAATCTCCATAAAACAACAGATTGACGGTCCTTTGGTTGCTCATGTTTAGGCGTTTCCTGAAGGGAGGCCGAACTTCCTGCAACAGCAGTGCCTACTTTTTGTTTTGAGTCCAAAGAAAAATCCAGTAGGGACGCTTAAAAACAAAGGCTGGATTTCACTGACAACAAAAAATATATTTAACTCTTAACCCTGGGATTTTCTTTTTCTTCTGGTTCTTATTAGAAGTGTAGATATACTGATTAGAGTAGCTCCAAAACAGGCAACATGCACCAATAAATAACAACGTCATTAATGCGCATAAGCCTCATTGTCTGAATTCATTTGTTTATTAAAAAAAACTTGGTGAATACTAAAAAATATAATTAATACATTTATCAACTGTTTATAATGCCGAGCCTCTTCCTCACTTTAATCCTTCACCTGTTTTACATCCTCTCTCCAGTGGACTTGGTAAGTCAACTATGAATTTCAGCATAATAATTTTTCTAATCACACTCGACCACATTTCTGGGGACATTTAAGGCATTTGAAGAGTTTTAAGGCAGTAACATAAGACTGGTAGATGTTAACATCTAAACATTGCTCGGAGGTTTTGCCTCATCAGTTATTCTGACCTTGCTAGCAAACAGGCTTTAATTTAGTCAACAATACTCTGCAAAAAGTCCCCAGTGTAGTCATCGGATCCATAAAAATCAGAAGGATGAAATCAGAATATATTTGTACATATCAGAATAAATAAACAAAAAGGGTCAGAAGTCCAGGACTGTTCACAGTCCTCGTTGCTTCAGATCAAATATGTTTGCATGTGGTTTGCAGAGAACATGGGATTGACATATTTTGAACAGGATTTCTAGTAAATTGAACTTGGGTTTGATTTTTTTTCTTCTTCTAAAAGTTAAAAACTAAATATAATAAAATGTGTTATCTTTGAAAGAACCTGAACTGGATTCTAGTTGTATTTGAAAATCCTTAAAAGTGTTCCCATTACACAAAGTTGATTAAAATTCAGTTCTACCAGAGAAAGAAAGGCATCTGAGAAACACAGTTTAGGTCTCAATTCTCTCAGCAACGGGAGGGCAGTGACCAAGGCACAAAACCCAGGTGAAATGATTGTTTTTCCTTGATATGCTGAATTCATTAATAATAAGCCCTGCAGAGAAAGGAGGGAGAGCTGAAAGTATGGGTATAGAATATGGGAAAATCAAATAATAAAAATAGCATTAATGTTATGATAATGATATCAGTTTCAATAAATCCATATTTTCCTCTCACCTCCTTTCCTTATCTGGCATTTTAATGCCACCATCTGCCTCTATGACCTTTAGCATCGATGTCATCTCCTTAGACTTGACACTTGGAATATAACACCCAACATATATTGCATTTCAGACAATCGTTTGAGATATGAAGACTGCACACACCGACATTGTTCTAGCAATAAACATGAGACACATTGCGCATCCATAGCTGAAAGGGTCATCGGTGTGCTTCTGTCCTCTGTCCGTGAGCAGAGGAATGCTGCCTGCTCTCTGATATGCAACCGTCTATATGTTACTTTGTCAAATCTCTACTCGCAGCTTATTCATCAGCAGACGGCAGAAGTGATACCACCCCAGTGACTTCCATCTACTGACAAATTCAGCTCTTTCAACAGCTAAATGGAATATGATCTCCCTTCCTCCATCTTCATAACTCCCCCTCCTCCTTGTGATCATCCTGGGCGCTGAAGTGCTTCCTCTGCCTGTGCTCCTGATTATGACAGAAGGAATGTAACAGCAACAGAGAGGAGGTCAAGAGTATACTCATTCTGCAGCTGCCTCAGGAGAATGTTAAATAAGACAAAAAATCTCAGCCTTTGCTGTGTGCGCACCCTCATATTCTCCGTAGGAGAGAGGCTGATGAGTGTAGTAGATGATTCATAGCAAAACAGAGTGTTGAGGCCTTTCAGCCTTCCTCCAGTGGATAAAGATGTTTTTTTGTTTGGATGTTTCTTTCACACATTAGGCCCACTCATTTATTACAGTTTTATTTGTGAATCGGCAAAAAGGTGACATAACATGCTGAGGATTTAAAACAACAAATCCTTGCTGGGCGTGATGCACATCCGAACAGGCAGGGTGACAGAAAATTGGCTGCTGAGAAGCAGCGTGATGAGTTGAGGGTTGTTTCTCCAACCAAAGGATTGTGGGAATATTTGGGATGGGCGTGCAAACTGGTTTTAATTAGGCAGGATTCCTCTTGCTCCGTTACACACAGAAAAACCCCAATATGTCCATGACTGTATTCTCAACAACACTGAAATCAGCCGCACCGTGAAAAAAAGGGAAAGTTCTCCAAAAGGTGTGGTCATGGAAAGTGTTTTTTCTAAACTGGAGATCCACCCAGTTTTGGGAAATGTAAAATGCTCATTTTAACATTTGAGTGGTGTTAATGTGAAGCTTCTTCACTGCGATGGTTTAATTTCCACTTATTTTCAGTAAACAAGTCGATCCGCAAGGGTACACAGATACACCCACACACAAACATAAATAATAAGCACAAATATATGCATGCTCATACACAGCAAGGTGCACGTTCCTTCCCTTGATATTGACTCAGTCTTATCGCCTAATTGGAAAAGTAGATAGACGAAAGGAAAGCAGAGTGGAAACACACCTGGTAATCAACTCTCACTCAAAGACTGAAACCCATTTCATGGATCAATGTCCTGTCTTTCCTGTCTGCTCTGGTGTGCACATGCCTCTGCCTGACAGTCATATATATATGTCTCTCTCTCTCTCTCTATCGCTGTGCAAAGCCCAATTACTGACCTATGCATGTTCCTCTGCACAATCAAAAAGAGATTGAACGGAAAAGGAGAGCCGACTGCCAGAACCAAGCGTGACATTTCTTTCATGTCTCTGGCTGGACACATGCTGGTCTGCTGCTCTGTTGAATCTCCCCTTCCGAAAGACAGAATGACCAAGAACTAATGCAAACTTTGCATATATGTATATAACTATATGTATGGACTTGAGTATTATATTAGTTTCCCTGGAAATGAATGATCATTATGTCATTCATCTGGTGGCATTTCCCTTTAAAGCTATGCAGACAAAACCTTCAAGTTCACTGGGGAACCTGTGGAGGAGAAAGTGTTACCGCACCTCTGTGGGATGTTTTGTAGCAACAACACACAAGCCCGGACTTCCCTCTCGTGGTATCTCATCTGGTTTTACTATCTTCATTTTTGTGCACGCTGCAATTTCTACCTGATTTTTGCTTCAGGCGTTTTAATCCAACAACAACAACTTAAAAACGACACGGTGCCATTAACAGTATAAAGTCAAGAGGTAGCAAAATGACAATATTAGACCAAAAAGTGTGGACTAATGCAAAAAAACACAACAAATAAAAATGAACCGAGTGTAAAATACTAAATTATGTGGAATCCATGTGTGTCTTAATTAGTCGGGGTTATCTGTGACTGTCCATGTGTTATTTATTTATTTTTTTTACAGTGATCTTCACGGAGAACGTGGCGTCACATCAGCTGCTACAGCTTCCTGTTTGTGTGATGCGACCTGCTCAGCAGAGGCTCAGCTCTCAGTCAAACCGTTTCACATCAGCAGACGCAGCACAGACGCACCGCAGACTCCAGCAGCATCTGCCGAGTCAGACAGTCGCTAAGAAATAAATGATTCAGAGGCTCATGTCTTAGGTGCTGTTGTTAGAACATTTTAAAATATTAAGCTCATATCTTGCTCGGTTAGTATTTAACTGAGGGAAGGACTGTTTCATTACTTTGTTATGAAACACATACTGTTTAAGAGATAGTTTCTGAAAATGACCTTCAACTTCAGTCAGGTGAAGATAAGGGTAATCATAGTAATCCGTTAAAACGAAAATTTAGTTCAACATTTAAACTCTAATCTGCTTGGTTCTGATGATACATTTTACAGTAACTGCTCCATAACACAGCGCTTGACATTGTCTTTGTTTTTAATATGCATAAATAATGACGTCTTACATCAGACAGGCTGGAAAAATGCAGCTTGAATCAAAATGTAAGAATTTAAGAGCAGATTGTGAGCAACATATGAGCTGCTTACGTCCGCTTCTAATATGTTCAAACGGACTGAGCAGTAAAACCACACACTTACCAAATTTCATTCCTTTTAAACCTGAAAAATTGTGGACATGTCTTTATTACCATGGTAATATTTATTAACCTGGTTCCCTTCACATTTCATAATCGACTCAGTGGTTTGTGTGCGTTCCTTTTTGTTTTTGCAATGTAACCTTGGGCACCGTCTGATAACAACTTCCAGTGAAACACCACTACGTTTGACCCGTTTCTGAAAGCCAGCTTACCCCTCCAGACGAACATCAGGCAGTGAGCGGTTGAGAGCGATCATCTCAGAAGCCATGAGGTTGAACTGGTTGATCTTAAACATTTCCTTCATTTTCTCCTGGTTCTCTTTAGGGATCACCACCGGCTTCCCGCCTTCACCAGGCCCGTCCCGCGGTCTGGACAGGCCATCTATGATTTACATGCAAACAGAATGTTTTCAGAAATACTGTTATATCATGCAGACCGCCAAAGACTAAATGTGGATTTAAGCACCTACCATCTCTCCCAGGCAGTCCTCTCTCCTTTTTGTCATCGCACTTGTTGCACTCGCTGAAGTAGAGCAGAATGAACATGTCCAGCATCACCCAGACCAGAGAGGTGGCTAAAACCACCTTACAGTAAGCAAACCTTCGCATCCTAAAAATGAAAGGACAAAGAATTAAAAAACATGGTGGGGAAAAATGATTTATTTTACTTACACCACATTTTCTGCTTTTGTCTGCTCTTTAAATGTAACTTGCAAAAAATGCATATCTGTCACAATTACTGAGTTGACTCAAACATCCTTTACAGGGTTGTTGTTTATTGTGAAAGCGATAGTGGAGCAGAAATGGAAGCAGGAATGTATTCATCTGCGTAAATCTCACTTTCTCTGCAGAGAATTGTCGAGAAACCAAAGTATGGAGGTGGACTTATGGTGCACGCCTTCATAAATCCAACAATAAAAAGTCAGCAACAGCCAAATAAAAAAAAAAATCCCAACAACCAATTCTATAAAAGATAAACATAAAAAACATGGCAAACCAAATAGACGGTGCAGAGCTGGGTTGACTTTACAACTGTGAGAACGTTAGCACATCAGCTGGCACATCGGGTTTAAATAGTCATTACTAATTTTCTAACACAGTGCACTCATCGTAGCGCTGATTATTACAGTACTATAATGATTACTGTGGAGTAGTATTTCTCTCTCAGTCCGCAGACAAGGCACGGTGGGGAGGATCGGTGTTTCTTATAGCGAGGTTGCTGGGAATATTAGAGTGCTTTGATTACTGGAAGGTAAATATAAATCCTAAAGCGCAGGGACATGATTGTGTACTGATGAGAAGTGATTTTTAAGACTTATAGAGGCTATTTACATTTTAAAAAAACTTGAATTCTTAGTAAGTTTACTTAAATACAAGTTTGAACTGTTGATCAGCATCCTTTTAGATTTTAATGTGAATAAAATAACCTTCGTCTACTTCCTGGATGGCAAATGTGTTTTGGCTCAAAGTTCAGAGCTGGCTATAATCTATTTATTCCTGATTTATTCTGAAAACCTCATTGGCTCCAAAAAGAACAAGCTCTGCTGCAAAACACCACGAATGGTGACACTGATTGGAGGCATCAGCCAGATAAGATTGGAGTCCATAACACAAAACAGAACGGGCCTCCATAAACCTGCCAAAAGAGATCTATGAGATGCACACACATAATAATTTCCCCTTTAGTCTAGTAAATTGTAGGCTGCAATACCTAGATTATTTTAGAAAGTAAAAGACATTTAATCTGAGATTATGCTTTTCATGTTTTGCCTAACGAGGCTAGAATGATTTTGTTTCCACATTGTCAGGGTGAAGCAATCCATTAATAATACTTTCCTGACAGTAAACTCTATTAAAAACTCGGGTTTTCTGATCGTCCATGAAACGCAACTTCTCAGCCATTTTGCTGCCGAAGAAAGAACAAGCCAGTGAAAATAAATATTTTCATATTCTCAGCTTTATAACTAATCAATGCAGTTTCTTTAGAGTCTTGTTTTTGAGAAATTAAATATCAGATTTTTCTGTGACTTATAGTCCAGAAAATGCCACAGTGAATGCTGGGTGCATCATGTGTTCAATCTTCACACTGTAAATTGTGACCTCATGTATTAAAATAGCCACTGAAGAATTTACAAATGTGTTCAATCACTGCTTAAAAGTAAAGCTAAAAGTAATATTAATGCCAGATTTACCATAACTGATCCACTAGAGTGAACCAGACAGTTATATAGATGAGAGTTTAATACCAGTTTTTGTGATGATTTCTAAATATGAAAATATTTTATATTGCCCAATTCTCACTTCTGGTGGCCCTGTGTTTCTTTCATGTTATTTTGAAATTTCATCACATTTTTAAAAAAATATTTGCAACTTTTTTCAGATCCTCAGGCCAGTCTTGTTTTGCTTAGTCTCTCTCTCTCTCTTTTGACTTTTTTTTTTTTTTTACAAAATAAATGACAATATTAATAATGGTACAAAATCATGATATGAAAAAATGTTATCATTACATCCTAATTAAACTTTACAATATAATTTGCCTTTTACATTTTTAAAAAGGAAATCCATGGAACATTTACACCTTAGTTTTATCTCAATTTCTATCTGCCTTTCTATCAGCCATGTTTATGGGTCTTACTTCAAATGCTACATCCTCACAGAGCCTTATGCTGAGCACTGTACAAAACAAACCATTTTGTCCATCAGTCTAGAGCAGAAAAATGAAAAATGTTTTAAAGGTTAACATTCCCGTAGGCAAAGTGAAAACTGACGGCTGCATTACAGAGTGATGCTTTTAGGGTTTCTTAGAAACTTTAGTGTTCGGAAAAGTTGTGAAGCAGAAACTAAAGTGTTTCTATAAACCCAACAGTGTGTACATCTACCCATTATACAGCCAACATACAAAAATCATTGTGTGCTTAGTGCAGTCACACGCAGACTCACAGGTAAGCAAACGCAGCGCAGGGAGAGTGGCTGCGATAGTAATTGCTTTCTTTTGGTGGGCAGTGAAAAGACAAGACAGCCACATTAAAATTCCACTGCTCCTCTCTCCACCAGCACCATCTTCGCCTCTTTCTGACTGATTCTCTGCCTCAATGATCCCTCAGGTTGCCGCCGCACAAGCAGAGGGAAGAAAATTAACTTGGCCACAGTTATTTCACTCATGCCCCCGGGAGGGGGAAAAAAAGTGTTTGTGCATAGCTAGCTTAGCTTAGCTTAGTTAAGCTTTGCTTAGGCAGCTTGGGAGGGAGGAAAACTGCTGAGCAGCATTTCTAAATTCCGGCTGATGGGATTCTGGTGACACAAAAAGGTGTGCACAGCAGAAAACTACAGCGAAGATTTAGTTTGTTCCTCCTCACAAGCTTGTGGCACTGAGCGAAACAGTTTCAGTGAAATGACAATGCAGTACTTTGACCAACTGTGACGTCTGCTTCAAGGATTTGTTGTTTTTAATTAGGTCTCTTCCTTCTACCAGTGAAACACAGCTCAAATATTATCAAGAGAGTAACAATACATCAATTTATGTCACAAATTAATTAAATGATTTAAGCTCCATTGAAGATAAATATCAATCCATATTGCCACTTCTTTATTTTGAAATGATTTTTTTCAGTGCTGTTTGCCCTTAAGAACTAAGGAAAATAAGTTCCTAAGTCAAATGGACAAATCATTTATATTGTTTGTCGTTTTGTGAGTTTATTTTGATTTGTAAATTATTTGTGAACTTAATCAAAATCGCATTGTGATACATATTGTCATCCAAACAGATCGATATTACATCAGATCCCAATAAGCAGGGGATTCACACCCAGCCATCAACCCACCTTCAGATTAAGAATCAGGCATGTTTAGGTACACAGATAAACAGATAAAACTCTAAAAGAGGAGAATGTGGCTTTTTCAATGCACAAACATAAAGAAAATTTTATTAAACAGAATATTATATATCAATCAACACTTAAGGAGAATAAGCTTGACTGGTTACAGTCCTATTACATAAACATACCATAGCTAAGCAACAAAGACTTTATTAGCAGTCCTTGAATATGGATTTTTATGTTTACTATTAATATGATCGTGTTTTGGATCAAAATCTCAATTAAAAAATTTAGCTTACTGCTGAAGTCCACCAGATTTTTATTAACTGTCTTGTAATTTTCAATGGTCCCTGGTGTTACATTTATTAAAAAGAAATGGGCCCACAGCATCACAGATCTCCACCATACCTTAAAGTGAGCATGACACATTTTTCCATATATTTGTGCTTTGTTTCACCCCAGAGATCTTTAGTTTAAACTAATACCACCCATTGTGGTACAAAAGCTACAGGAAATGGGGCTAATTTAAAAAAAAACAAGACACTCTAATAGGCTTAAAAGATTTTTAAGTTAATTTATTTTTATCATCTAATATCATGGATGTTTTCCCACTGAGTAAATTTACTCAAACCAAAATGTGATCATTCAAAGGATTTGTCTTCTCAACAGTTTTTAGGAAGACAATGCATTAGCCTGAGTTTGTATGTCACAGAACATGTTACATTTAAAAATCTTGGCTTAACGTAAACAGATCTTTCAACAATTTAAGCCTTATGTGTGAAAAGTACACTCTGCTTGTAAAGTTGGTGACGCTAACTGTGACGCTAACTGCACTAAGCATTGTGAATGGCAGTTTAACAGTGTATAATCATTTAGACTTTAATTTTACTACAACTGATATTTCTATTTTACTGTAGCTGAGACAGAAACGTTCCTTAGAAGAAAACACTGCGCAAAAGACAGGTGTTATTCTGGGGACAGTATGTAAAGAACGTGCGGTATTGGCTCAAAACGATGACAAATTGCCTTGCTAAGGGAATGCTATCAGATCTCCACATTGCTCCTGACCTTGCAGCTTTTCTAAATTTAATCGTTTTGTGTAAGCCACAGAAAAACATAAAAAGTTTTTCAATCTGGCAGCACCTCCCAGACAATCCCTAAAACACAGAAAACTAACAGTCTGGCTGTATCTACAGATGTGTTCAGATATGTTTTGGGGAAGCTGTTCAGAAATCTTCTTGTAGACCAGCTGCTTGGAAAATTCCTCATTCCTTATAAAAAAATATAGGAGTATCAAATTGCTTCGCTCACTGTTATCCTCTAAAAAAACTACTCCCAATTCCAGGACAACGGAAAGGCTGAAATTCAGTTCTCACCCTCCTCTCCTTGTCTGACCGCCATTGAACATTGCTCTCTTCCCATTTTCTGCTAGAGATGGCGTACACTCTACCAAATGTACAGAAGAAGACCAAAGGTGAAAACTAGCAATCCATCACTGAGTAACAACTGAATTATTTTGCTCAGGCATTTTTCTTTAAAGGTCACCTAAAAACATATTTTGAAATCTGCTTTTAATTTGGCCTTGTGAATTTTTTTCTATTCTCTATTAAAGTACTTAGAAAGGTGGTGTATAAGTACACATTGTAAATGTGTTTTTCTGAGTGTTATTTGATCAGACTGAATGCTAAGGAAATGCTCCAGGAGCAGCAAAGCAGATGAGGATATACATTGAATAGAGTAACACACCAACACATGTTCCCACTGCAGCGTCTGCATGCCTCTACACAGGCTCGAT